GATGGCCACGCCGCAATCCCTTCTCCTCCATTCTCCTCTCGGGATCTTGGGCACACACGCACACGTGCCTGGCGTGAGTTTTAAGCCACCGGATCCGGGACTCAAACCGCAGTTGACTACGTAGGAGTCCAGCAACATAGCCATTACGCTAACTGCAGGTCCTGGGGTTGTAACGATGGAGCCTTTGGGATTGCAGTCTCTGTTACTGCCTTCCCTGGAGCTGTAGTGGACATTTTGTTTTTAGAATTATTTCTTTAATTAATTAATTAATTTTTGTTTGTTTGGTGGCTGTAGGGTGCATGCACTCATTAAAGAGACAGAGAGAGACAGAAAGCGAGAAATCACCCGCTAGGGAGATAGCCATGCTGCAATCCCTTCTCCACCATTCTCCTCTCTAAATTTTGGGCCCACATGCACCCAGCATGAGAGGGTTTTTTTGTTGTTGTTGAAATTATTTTATTCAACTTTCTTCATTATTATTTTTTGAAGCTGACCAGACAAAGTGAGAGAGCGAGCCACCAGGTCCAGGACTCGAACTGAAGTCATCTATGTGGGAGTGTCCAGTGATGGAACCATTACGCCATCTGCTGGTCTCTATTATTATTATTAGTAGTATTTTGGAGAGGTTTTCGCTATAGGGCACATGCGTTCGCCAGACAGAGAGAGACATAGAGACAGAAAGTGAGAAATCATCCCCCAGGGGGGATGGTCACGCCGCAATCCCTTCTCCTCCATTCTCCTCTTGGGATCCTATGCACGGATGCACATGCACCCGGTGTGAGTTTTAAGCTACCGGGTCCGGGACACGAACCGCAGTCGACTACACGGGAGTCCAGCAACATAGCCATTACGCTAACTGCTGGTCCCCTGGTCTCTATTATTATTTTGAGAGTGGGAAAGAGAGAAAGCAAGCCACCAGGTCTGGGACTTGAACTGAGGTCATCTATGTGGGAATTGGGCGCCTTAACCACCATGCCACCTGCCAGTCCTTCCCTCCCTCCTAAGGTTTCAGGCATAGGGTGCTTACGCTCAGTAGAGAGACAGGGAAAGTAGGAAGTCCCTCCCCAGGGAAATGGCCACTCTTTAATTCCCTCTCCTCCATTCTCCTCTTTTGGGCACATGCGCACGTGTGCCCAACATGATTTTCAAACCACCAGGTTTAGGACTCCAACCGTGGTTGGCCATGTGGGAATCCAGTGTCTTTTTTTTTTTTTTTTGGAGAGGTTTTTGCTATAGGGCGCATGCGCTTGCAAGAGAGAGAAAGCAAGAAATCACCCCCCAGGGGAGATGGCCACGCCACAATCCCTTCTCCTCCATTCTCCTCTTAGGATCTTGGGCACGCATGCACACGTGCCCGGCGTGAGTTTAAGCCACCGGGTCCGGGACTCAAACTGCGGTCGACCACATGAGAGTCCAACGACGTAGCCATTACACCAACTGCTTGCCCCAGAAATCCAGTGTCTTAACCACCATCCCACGTGCTTGCCCCAAGTCCACTGGCCCCAGCACCGAAAGACACAAAGTTAATGGAGCGGCTGCAAAAGAAGCATTCTTTATTGTGGGAGTTTCAGCGCAGCAAGGCATGACCCTGGCCAGCTGGCGGTCAGGGCTGGGCTGGGCGCCATCCGCGCCAATTTCCCATCTCCCTCGGCGTGTCCCTGGAGAGCCACCATCACTGGGCAGATTCTGCATCAAACCTGAGGTCCTGGAGAACCTCGCTGATCTCTTCCATGGTTTTAATTACCCTACAAGAGCGGATGGGAACTATAAATAAAACCCATATGGGGCGAATTAGCCGCCGGGCTGCAGCTCCGAGGGGCTGCGGGGAGTCCTGGGCCCTCCTGCTGGCTGTTGCCAAAACTCCAGGCTGCACCAGTGGTAGGGGAGAGGGGACTGAGAAAAGAGCGAGTCATTTGGGACAGTGCATGCCATCGGGAGGTTATGCAGTGTGACCGTGGCAAACACACACATGCGTTCTGGGACGGAGAGCGATGTGGAGGCCTGTTGCCTGCCGGGGCATGGGTAACCATGTCAACTTCACATTTAGCCAAGTGTGCAGGGTCCGTGTGTGTAGTTGCACGGCCATGTCCCAGCGGCGCCGAGTGAGCTTGTGGCCTGAAAGTGCATAGCCTGTGCCCTCTTGGGAAGGTGTAAGCCTGGGGGCAGCCAGGTGAGGAGACCCTGTCTGACTGACCCAGCCCTGGGGCGCTGCAGGCTGGAGGTGAGTACCGGAGCATGCACATGCAAATCGATCGCCTGCGTTTGCAAGGTGGAGATACTCACTTCATTTTCAGCTGCTGCATTTGCTCCTGGTCCTCCTGCCCCATCAACTCTGGGGCTCCCATCAGCTGCAGCAGGGCCACCTGGTAGGGAAATGGGGACCTTGGGAAGGGTGTCAACGTGCAGAAGCCACGCCCTGCACCCACACTGTTCAGGGAAGGACTAGCAGAGGCACCCAGAAAGGCAACGCACGGGCGGCGATTTGCGCAGAAGTCTGGGATTGGGTGCAGAGGCTCCCGACAACGGGTGCTGATTGGTCAAGCCAAAGGCACTGAGGAAGGCGGCATGGGCGTGGCCTGGGGAATAGCCATGAAATCTCAGCCAAGGATTGGTCATAGGGGTAGAGTAGGTGGGGCTTCCCAGTCCCGGGGCGGGGACAGGCCATTACGTCCGCGGGGTGGAATCCGGTCAATCAAGAAAGCGCGTAGCCCGGAAAGATTGATAAAAATGCAAAGATGTAGGCGTGGCTTTACAAAGATCAGGCCCGCCTCTCGGCTGGGATTGGCTGCAGGGCAGAATGGGCGGGGCCTTGTCACGCAGGGGCGAAGTAGATCAGGAATTTAGACAGCGAAAGAGGGACTTTGCAGGAGGTGGAGGGTGGGCCCCGGGGATACTTATTAGCCGGAACGGGGAGAGCGTTGTGGGAGTGGGATCTGGGTGTCCCGGGATAGCGCTAAGCGGGGCTGGAGATGTGGCAAGCAGCAGTGGGGACTGGAGCGCTGGGAGATTGGTGTGGGTGACCTAGATCTGTCCCCCCAACAGACCCCCTCCCCGCCAAAGAGGAGACCACAGGGGTGGGGTCGGGGTCTCACCGTGGCCAGGCGCGTCTTCTCCAGCTGCTGCAGGCGGCGCACGTGGCCGGCGAGCAGCGGCTGCGCGCGGGGCCCGGCCCACTCTGCTTTCCCCGCGAGCAACCATCGCGGA